TCAAAAGATTATTTATATAAGTACGAGGTATGTAGATATATCACGAGGCAGCTCAAAATACAAACATAAGTACTTTTACTCCTACGCCTTTTGCGTATACAGTGGCCCAGCAAACCAAAGCCAATAGCTAGGTTAAAGCGAATATTCTTATTATGTATACTAAAGTGTGAAAGCTTTTAAAAGCATACAACTTTAACCAAATCTTAACTTTATGATAGATAAGCGAATCATTGACTTTTGTCGTATATTAAATTGAAGTTAAGTTTTCATGCAAGTAATATGAGGAACATCAGAAATCGTAATATATTTTGAATATATTCGTTATGAAGTCATTACGTCTATTCAGAAATTTGTACTGAAAACATAACGAAAGCTAAGGCAGAAGGGTTCCTCCGACTCAAGCTTTTCAAGACAGTGAAGGCAAATAGGGTTGCCATGTTTGCCGATCAAAGTCTGGTGCTAATGCCATGAAAAATGTCCAGTCAACAATGTCATAAGTCGTCTGCAATCCCATCTACTCAATGAGAGATAATTCCTAGCTAGACCTTCCCAAATTGAGGACAACGAACAACAGCGAAGATGGGAGTGCTATAATTGGTTGCTGCACCAGGGCCCAGCTAGCTTTGCGAGACCTTTTTGTATTAGCCCTGCCTTCGCTTTATCGACACAAAAGTGGAATTGACCTTCTCCATGTCATCATCATCATTTTATAATGGCGCGTATGTATGTATAATATGGCGTCTATGTATTAAAACACCCCCCGTGGATCCGCCACTGACTGGCACGTAGTTTAACGCCTAACCTAACCTACTGCTTTTTCTTTTTTATTTCTCGCGAGGAGATTTAGATGGTCTTGCATCTCGAAAGGGGCCAACGTGAATGTAACTGCTGGAACTTTGGTCCCTTATGCGACGCAGCAGTAGGAGGGCTATCGCAAACCACAAAGGAGGTATTTTTCTGCCTGTATTTCACCGCTTGTGTCCACTTCCTTTCCCACTGCTTCTAGATAACTGAAGCCAGGTTTGCAATATCACGCGGCAGTGGACTTGTAATAATTTTAAGCGGTTGAACCGGTTTCGATCCGGAAGGAGCGGAACGGCCACAACCCCTCCCCTCAAACTCGAGTTGCGCTCCCTCTCGTAAACGTGTGATGACTGGACGCTCCGGAAGTCCTGACGCTGCTTCTGCATGGGAGGTAGTACCAAACCACCTCTTGCAAAGCGTTACAAAGGGATTCAGACAAAAAATTCCAGAGTTCATTTATATCCGGGTGATAAAGAATTGCTTCAATAAGCAGGATTGAGAGCCAGCCACGAATCCGTGTGCGGATGGATTACCAGTAGGGCGCGTAGCACGTGGAAAATGATCAGCTTAACCAGAATTTTCGTCATCCTCTTGTCAAGTTTAGTAAGGAGACAAACTTGTTTCAACGAAGTTCTTAAAAATCTCGAAACATCCCGATTAATAAAAAACTGAGAATCCCATGCCGAAAAATGCAAAAAGGCCGCACCAGTTTTTGTATAAAATCTCGAAAAGCCTTTAATTTTAGTTAATTTTATGTTGCTCCGAATACTTTTAAAAATCTACGATGTCGGGTTTTCATACAAGAAATTTATCTCCATTACCATTCCCTATTTCGCTTTTTATATCAATTAAATTAATGAATATTATCCAAAGTACCCAAAAAAGTATTTCAGCCCTCTACTTCTATAGGAATAGATAAAAAAAGGGTGCTCAAGCTGTATGCCGCTAGGTTAGTCATTATTTTGAACCTACACTGTTTTGAATTTTACCCTAATTGTTTAATATTTGTTGTGTTGTCATTAATCACGCGCCTGTGCTGTTTCGCGTTGCGTATACGCACCGTTGTTCTCATTATGATGAAGTGGCTCGCAGCAACATTTGTCATTATTGTTTGGCAGCAGCAGCGAGAGAGAGAATACAGCAGGCACTGGTCATGCGGCACCTGAGACAAGCTATGATGTCTGTTCAAATAAATGTTAAGTGAACCCGGAGCTTGTTATGGATTCAATTGTGCTGTTGTTTGTTAACGGCGCAGTGTTCTTGTTAAACTAATTCTATTCATAGCCCCATTATACATACGTACATATGTATTTAGGCACATAAAAGTTAAGGCACCATATTTTAATTCAAATTTTAGCTTTGCACTCAATGTCCATTAATTTTTGTCGGTTGTTAGGCTTTTGTATGGGCGGGTCGAAGATGCTCCTTCGGGTGTGCTTATGCGAAATTAAGTAGGATTGTGCTTCCCCTTTCGCTATTTTGAATATATTTTAATGGAAGAATTTTGTGCTTCGTAATATGAAAAATCAGTCGCTTGTTATGGGCCTTAGATAGGGCACGCTTCTGTAGAACGTAACTTTTATTTTAAACACCGATTTAAAAATATTTCAATTATGCATACATAAATCAAGTTTTAGTTAAAATACACTCAACCCAAAAAGGTAAAACACTGGTGGTAGACTATTGTCAAGAGAAAGACAATTATAATACATACAAATTTTCAATCGCATATCAAAGAAAACCACTCCTTACACGTCGATGTAGCTTAATTTGCTGACTGACAGATTAACTTTGCAAAAATTTGTAAAACATATTTTTCAGGTTTTCGATTTAAAACTTTGTCCACGACAATCCTTACTGCAAAACTAGCATTTCTGAGCTTATAAAACGTGAATAAGTGGGCTGAACTAAAAACAATGGTGGTATTCACCAAAGTGAGCAAGTGGCCTGGCAGTCTGGCAAAAGAGCAAATCAGCTCAAGGAACGACTGTTGCTAACGCTCGTTGCTTGAGCTCATCTGCTCTTCTGCCAGAGTGCCAGGCCACTTGCTCAATTTGGTGAATACCACTAATATATTTCAGGCCAGCATAAACGTACACACGCATGCACATATCGGCAGGCATTTGCATGAAGGCATTAACGTCAGGCCGGATAAGTGTCCGCAGGAATTGGCAGCAGCTGCTGCACTATTAACACATTGACATATTTCCAGTGGTGTTTTTATTACTCAGAGCAGTCGTCATTATCACTGAAATCTGCGTATTATTACCAAAAATGTCTGATGCTTTCAATAGGCATTGAATTTTGATGATTGCAAATTGGTTTTAAAACTCGAAACTCCAACTAAAATGCGATGCCATCGTGCCAGTAATGTCTATTATATTCACTAAGCAGACTGCGATAAAAATTGTCTGGCAATCAGTTAGTTTATGGTTAACCATATCAATCAATTGACAATTCGGGTGAGGCTGATGTCAGTTCTGCGAACGTGGGGTGAAAACTCGTAAACATTTTTGGCTTAATGGACATAATCCCACTTACCACATTTGGAGTGAAGAAAATTTCCGAAAAATACACGATGTACCGCTGCATTTACAAAAACTCACGTGGTATGCTTGAAGAGCCGATAGAATCGTTGGTCTTTCAATACTTAATTAAAAATGAGAGCGTCGAGTACATAGCCGTAACTGAGGCATTGAGATCCTGCCCTTCAGAAGTACTGAATGTCGTCCTCAATATGATTCTGCTTGATCTATGCCTAAAGGAAATCGCGACGTACTCAGCTTTAAGACTCAGGGAGTCTGGGCTGTGGAAAACGAGGACCTTTGGGCACAGCTAAAACTTAAGTATTGGTCCGATAGAAAATAAAACTACGGACTACATGGTATCAAGCCAGGAGCTTGACTTAAATGTGGTGGTACGGTTTCCATCCAGAAAGGAATGGAAAAGGGGCCAAGCAGATGATAAGGAAGCAGTCTGCATCTACACAGACGGATCCAAGATGGACTGCGGTGTGGGGCAGGAGTATATTCCGAGGAGCTTGGTGCGAATCTGTCCCTGCGGCTGGCGAACCATGCTAGCATATTTCAGGGCAGAAGTCCTGGGTATATGTGAGGCCTGTAGGTTACTATACAATAGTGCTACTAGAAAAGTAAAATCAGTGATTTACTCAAACAGCCAGGCGGCGATGCAGATACCAAGTCTAAGCTAGTCAAAGAATACAAGATGGAGCTACGCCCAGCGTCTCAGTCAATGTCTGCCTCTCTTGTCTGGGTTCCCGGCCATAAAAATATAGAAGGCAACGAGAGAGCAGACGAATTGGCCAAGTTGGGAGCTTGTTTGGATGAATCGATAGCGGTGGTACTGGGATACCCCTTCAGGCAAGTACAAGCAGAGGTACACTTGCACTTTCTGAAACTGGCAAGGATGAGGTGGTCAGAGATTTAGACTTGCAAGATAGCACGTGAGCTTTGGCCTGACTAGAGCAGGAAAAGAACAACAGAGCTGCTAAGTAGGTCGAGGGTAGATGTATTTAGGATTGTAGCGAATATAACCGGCCACTGACCGCTAGGAGAGCATGCCTATCGAATAGGACTCCCATAAAACGATACCTACATGCCGCAGCTGCCGGTTAGAGGGCAGCGAGGAAACGGTATTCCATTTCCTGTGTGAATGCCCAGGGCCGGCTTCCTTAAGGCACAAAGCTTTCGGGAAACATACAATCCGGGAGTTAGCGGATTTATCTAGGGCTAAAATAAGCGATATGCACAAATTTATAAACGGGTCAAAGTGGTTTGTTTGAACTGTAAAAATGCTTGATAGGTAGGCTACGGTAGAATAAAATTGTCCGGGAGAAGTGCAACGAAATGGTGCTACTATGCGCGAATTGATTCCGGAGGACAACTTGGGAGGCACTACAACCAACCAACATAGCCGTCAACTGCGAACGCCACGGAGCCACAATTGGCAATTATTTCATGCCCGAATTGAATTAAATGTTGGCTGAATAACTGTAACTTGCAATAGAGCGACTTTTTGAAATAAATATTTGGTGAACGTACGATTTCACGCCCCTACGGGATTACGCAGTCCTATTGGTTTATGCAAATAAACCGCCAACTTAAATATGAAAATATGGTCGAAAATTGGATTTCCAGAATACGCCACATCCACCCGTCGCAGTTGACATCGCCGAGATGGCTGATACCACAATTACCGACCTGGGCGCGCAGAAAATCGCATGTGGCAAGGGCTGTGTAGCATTCCTGCCCAAACCAAAGATCGTCCGAGTCCATGCCTTCAATTTCGGGCCACAAACAATCGTTTATAATGTCCCTGTAGCGCTTACCGTTAACCGAAATGCCAATGATGGCACCGTTCCAAAATCTGCACCAAACTGTCACTATCTGAGGATGCATTGGCTTCTCGACGATCACGTGATTTCACGGGTTTCCGGTCCACGGTGTGAAAACCAACTTTGCATGGGAGGGTTAAAATCACTCAACCCAGTTATGGTTCAATTGGTTTGGTTTTTGTGATTTAAATTTGATTCGCAAAAATAAAAATAAATGGTTGAACGAATTAAGAAAGGAAGCTTTGTTTTTATGTACGTATGTAAATATAAAAATATTAAACAACAGCTAACAAGTCGTGTTTAGTGTTTGGCCGAACTTCTCCTCCAATTTCCGGTTTCCGTCTTGATGATGCCACACAAATAAAGGAACCTTATACGGCTTAAGAACGGTAGGTAGGTGTTTTTTGTTGTAAGTGGTTTCGAAACTTGGGTACTACCGAGTGACAGAACGCACATTTAACCGATCGACTACAGCAGCCACAAATACTCGTAGATTTACGCGTACATGAATTTCCTTTTTCACTTGACTTAGTACTCTTCATTAAATTAATTACGGTCTGCGGCTTTAGGTCGACAGACTTCAAAAGAACAAAATGACCAACTGCTGTCGTTCCAATGACCGCAAAGTTTTTTGATCTTTAAATTTGAATAAATAGGTAAAAAACAATGCTCTAAAGAAAGGTCAGCGTAATTTTGCTATTAATATTATACACATTTGTTTTGTTTAAAAAGGAAAGAAAATTAAACAGAAATGACACAATGGTGGTTATTCATTTTGTTACACCACAGGATGTGCGAGTTGTAAAAGCAGTAAAAGACTTAAATAAAGTATTTAATAAAAATTAATGCTGCAGAAATTCTTTTGAAAATTATGACATGAGAGATGTGAGTGATGTCTCTTTTCTTCGCATATTTATACAGAAATTAAAATTATTGACATACACATACGCCCCTTAACCCTATTAGAACCAAAAACATACAAATATAAACTCAAGATTTGAATTGTAGAATGTGAGTTATTGATGTCTAAGTAAACGAATTCTTATATAAAAAAATCAATGTAAAAAATAATTTTCTCTTAAATATTTTCCTTAATTTAAACTAAAAACTATCTTTTTTCAACTATTTTATTCTACAACTTTTTTCTTTAATCTCATAATTTTTCCTAGAAAACAATAAAATTTTGGGGGGTTTTTTTAAAGTAGAGTTTTCGAAAAAAATATTTTACAAAATTATTTTTGCTTACACTATTTCTTTCTTAAGGCATCTTAAATTTGTTTTTCCCAAAAAATAATTTTTTGGAAAAAATTACTTATTAGATACCCTCACATTTTTATACTAAAAATATTTCTATTTTAAATTTTATTCCCAATTTTTTTTCCGAAATAAATAACTTTTACTCAAAAAATATTTTCCAAAATATTTCGAATGTTTGGAAAATTACGTTTTTTCCGTAAAATTATTTATTCAAAAAAAATTCTTAAAAACAAATATTTTCTAAAACATTAAACTTTTCTAACAAAATTAAGTTAAATCGTTTTTCTAACATTGATTGAAAAAATTTTCATAAATTTCTGGATCATTATACCTAAATTAATATCAGGCACATTCAAAAAGTAAACAAATATAAAACTTCTAAAATTTTACACGATTTTCCTACAAATAGGTGGGAAATATGTTTCTCTTGGAGCTGAAAGGGTTAAAAAAATAGCAGTAGCTTTATTATATTTTCTTACACTATTGAATTCTACTTACTTGACAAATTTCTTTGTTTTTTTTCTTAATTCTATTGCAGGTAATTGAGACGCACTTCTAAAATCTGGAAAACGGCTTGCCGGCCACATATGTATAGGCTATCAAATACTATTATATATATATAATTATATATTAACAAACAAGTTAAGATGAAAGTTAAACTTGTAAAATTAGTAGTTAAACTTAAGTATAAACTAATAGATTTGTGTCAGTGAATTTTAGTAGATAAGATATAATTGCAAAAGAGTTTGAAAAGCAACACAGTTAGCTTGGAATCGCTAATTTTGTAACTAATCCTAAAAGTATGCCTAAAATTTTGTATTATATAAAAACGCAAAGGCGCAAGGTATTTCCAAAACATCACACTCTTTCGCCATAGTTTGAAATATTTGAGAAATTATTTTTTTTTTTAAGTACACACCCAAATCAGCCAAGCTTTTCGCTTCCTTGCCGCTTTTTTTTACTTTTTGCTTCAAGCTGGTGCGTATAACCTAACCGTTGCTGTCTAAATTTTAAACTTCTACCTCCTTTAAAGTTGTTTTAAGTACTCGCAGCAACTTATATTTTTACGTTTTCCTGAAAGTCGCGCAAAAATGGTTTCTAGTGGCATACAGTTTAAGTCTCATTCTAGCGCCTAAAATTATGTTTCTGTATTTTTCTTTGTTTCTGTCATTTTTCAATTATTTTTCGCACTTCACAAGGCAAGCAATCAACCCTTCTTGACGCATGAGGGCGCACGTACTTTTCAATTGTGACAGGTTTAATTGCTTTGCCACAGCACTCTTGCCACCGCCGCCTATGCATATGCTACAAATGTGACAAGCGCGCAATTGCGAAATTTAAAACATGAGTACAATACAAACACACGCGCATTCAAGTGAAGTAGTATTTGCAGAGCAATTACGCTAAGAGGAAGGGAGAAAAAAACGTATGAGAACAATTAAAAAATACATATGTATTTTACAAAAGCTACAAACAAATACAATTATTTGAGTACTGTACTCGTTGCTTTAAGTGCATGCACGCTTGCATACTTTTCGGGGTGTACGTTACGTGCGATATTATTCTTTTTTATTTGTTAACCAGCAATTGTCAAATATTTTGCTGTCTAATTCAATGAACTGTGTTGCATATGCTGAAATGAAATGAAATGCAATGGAAATGCAAAAAAGTACACAATATTTTAATGGTAAACAAAATCTATTTTTAAGCGTAATATTAAGTAGCAGCGAAATATGTGTAAAATTGTGTATTTTAAATGTGTTCGCTTGTAGCCGAAATGTATTGGAAAGCGTACATTTAATATGACTGTAGTTAGATTTCTACCAAATACATTGAAAACTTTGGCGCGCGTGCAGCCTAAAAGTTGCAAAATAGCGTACAAAATGAGCCCCAACTTTGGTGGTTTAAAATAAATGCATAATACAAAAATTTACAAAAAACAACCTAATTCATACTGCAAATCAAACTGAAAATCCACAAAATAAAAATTGTGCGCAACTGGTCCTGGTCACACTTGAATGCATTCAATATTAAGCTGCCAAATTATTAACGTACATATATTTGCATACTTTTAGGCTTCGGCGTATATGAATATGTACTATATGTATGCACTTGTAAATATGCAACAGTCATGGATGTAACTAAACTTATTTTAGCTGGAGTTAGTTAATTAGTGATACATTATAATGTTTATATATAAATATTCGCGAGTAGAAATTTGTGTATTTTGGAAAAGTCAATACTCATGAAGCATTAGCATAAATTATTAAAATAATATGTATGCTTAGAAAAGCTTTTAGGCGCAACAAAATGCATTATGGTTTTAATTGTGAACTTAGCTTATTTATAAGGGTTTCATATATCGATAAATTAGAAATTAAAAATGGCTGTTATGTAAACAAAATGCATGGAAATACATCAGATTTAAGCCGCTAATTTAATAATAGTGCAATTAAGCAGTAAGTATAGCTTGCTTGTGTGGTGATGTGAGGCAGCATTTTAGGCGTACACACATGTATTTTATACAAATATTGGCGGCGAACTTTAATGCACATGATAATGATCATAGACATGTTTGTGATGTGAGAAAAAACTTAGTTTACAAAATAAAATTGAAAACGTTGCCCAAAAGTAGGCAATACCTTTATGCGGTACTTTCAGTTGTTCGTTCAAGCAAGAAATATAGGGGAGCTGCAGAGTAGGCATTTAAAGATAATGCTTGGAAAATGTGTTTATGGGATTTTTATATAAAGTGTAAGCCGAAAAGTAGGCTTCAAAATATTTAGATATTAAAATAATTTTTGCTTTTGCTGTTATAATTCTGTTTTTACTTTAATAAAAAATATATAATAAAAAACGAAACTGACTTTAATTTTGCGCCAATAAATTATGCTTGTTTTTTTTTTAAATATCATTATATATAATAGTTGCATACATTTACGCTGACTGTGGTTTTATATTTATGACAAAAAAATGCTGTTTAGTATAGACTTAAGCGCAGTTTTTAATATAAAACATCTTCAGCAGAGTGCGAGCGCCTAAATGTATGTAGTAGCTCTTGGAAGTAAAAACTGCAATTTATGTGAGATTTAGTACGAGTTGGTGCACCGTGCGACAAAAACAAAAAAATTTCGAAACACACGAAGTAATCAATGTGCTCACGAAACTGTGGGCCAAATATAGTAAAACTGCGTTTTTAGTTTTTCTCTTTGACGCCAGCATTTTTTTGAAGGACTTTCTGATTTCAAATATATGATTAATTCCAAAAATTATTTAAAAAATTTAATGGGTTCCAAATGAAAGCAAAAATTCTGTAGGATTAAAAAAAGTTAAATACAAATAGGTATTGAAAATGCCTTTTTAATTAATTATTAACTATTTTTTAAGCCTATAAAGTTAGAAGGATGAGATTCGAGGATGTGGTCGAGTGTACATATATTAATCCTTAACATAAATATAATTTATTAAAAAAAAAAAAAATTATTGCAAACCATCAAGGTAATTCAAAAATCAATCGCCGTTAATTCTACTGAGTTTTCTCTTTAATTTGTCTGATACCCATACTTTCTACAATGCACTGAATTTTTTAAAATAATTTTTTTAAATAATATTATTAAAAATTTCAAAGTCTTTAAAAAAACCCTGATGTCATAGTGAAAAACTAAAAACGAATTTTTACTTTATTTGGCCGCTGGTTTCGCGCTTATATGGATTTTTTGTGTGTAAAATTTACTGTCGTCCGTTGGTATCAAACTTGGTAGGTGCATGTACTTGAGGTACTGTATAATTTTAGTAGTAGTAGTAGTAGTAAACATAATCTAATGAATTTAAAAACTGTAAATAAACAACACAAGTTGTCGTGCGTTTGAAGCTAGTGCTAGCTAACAAAATATTCGTAAGTAGCTAAGAGTTGTAGCTGTAGCTTGAGACAATTTCTAATATTAGAAGTTTATGGACATAAGTAAGTAAATCCATAGTAGATATAACTATTTGCATGTGTTTGAAAAACTGTTTAGAAACAAAAATCAACAAAATTTATACTTAGAAGTGCAAAAAGCTGTGGCAAAATTTTACTAAAATACATACATACATACATATATATATGTATATAGCTTGTTAAACTTTTTTAAGTTACCAAATTATAATTGCATACGCTTAGGTATGTACATATGTAATAAAATTTAGTATTTTAAAATGTTTTCTATGTAAATGAGAAACAAAAAGAAATATTTAATAAATAACTAAAAGTAGTGTAATGGCTAAATAAGTATGAACTAGAACATATTTCAAACTGCAATTAAGTCTGAGTGTTTGTATTGTGGTTTTAGATACGCTAATTGTATATGAATAATTGTGGCATACACAATCATACGTAAAAGTGTAAAGAAATAAAAATTTGTAAAAGTTGAGGTTAGATATTTGTGAAAAATTACAAATTGATAGAAAGCAAAATATTGTAAAAATCAAGAATACATATAACAGAAATAAATGAATGTTGAATAAAAAAAAAAACAATTATGTTATCTTGTACTTTTTTCCATTGGAATCTATCAGAAGTCATCCATCTCAATCAACCTGAGAACACCTTGAACAGGAAAATAAAGGTAAGGCGGGACGTGCAAGTTTAGTGCGCGCAAGGTGGGTCGAAAATTTAAGTGCTGCATTTAAGTAGACATACAGTGACTCAAACAAATGACCACGTGTTGATTCCGGTTAAATATTCGTAATGTTTTTCGAGCTAAAATTTTTTTGGTTATTTTTCTATAAAAATGTCGTTCATGCTTTAACCGAAAACATACAGATAAGAGTTTCAAACTGTATACAAAATTTGGAAAAATTTAACAAATTTTTTTTAAAATTTTCAACTTTTTAATCTTAATCTATAGAGCACTTTTGGGTATGCATTTTTATAGCCCATACAATTTGAGTCCAATGAAATTCAAGTTTCAACTGGCTAACAAATTTTTTAGATATTTTTTAGATATTTTTTTTTTGATACTGCATTTCGAATATTTAAACAAAAAAAAAAAATCAACACGTGGTCATTTGTTTGAGTCACTGCTCTTAGAAGAAAGTTCACTCATTTATTCTTTTAACCTTCATGTGCTCGAAAGTCTATATTTGTAGCATTTTTGCCGGAAAATAGAAAAAACAAAATATTTTCAACACAACCGAATCCGAGGTTTTCAATAGCTTCCTGAAAATCTATTTTAGGTAGTTGCGGCTATTAAGAGTAGATACAAACAAATTAAGTATGTCCCATCTCCTGGCCGGTAGTTTACAAATGCAGTCACCAATTTAGAGTGTACGTGTAAATTTTACCCACACAAAAATCAAAATAACTCCAAATGTGAAGGTCGAAAAAGCTAATGCATCCGCAGTATGCCAATATTGTTGCGCATTTTGCGCTGGGGCCATGATTGGACTATAGTTTTTGAAAATCAAGAAGATTTCGAAGAAACAGCGCCTATTTTCCAGCAAAGCCGTGGAACTCATTTGTCCGGTGTACTAAATGTTCCAAACATAACCCCATGTATTTAATGTTAATTGTTTTTTTAAACAACTGTGCTTTCTATTTAATTAAAATTTCTCGTAAATTATGGGTAACATCCTTTACTTGTATACCTTTAGCTCCAGCAACGCATTTCAATCGTTATCGGCTGGTAGGTACATAGTTCAAATATCATTTGAATTTTTATTTCTTATTTTACTTTCCCATTTTCACTGCCATTCAATTCGACTGCAGTTAGCCCAATTTCTGAACTGAATTGTGGGGTTTTTCTCTTTTTTTGTGCTTTTATAGAGTAATGCATTTTTCATGTTTGGAGTATTTTCGCCCAGAAAAAGCCTGTTGACATTGTTGCAAAGTATGAGCGAATATTTACAGCCATTGTAAAGGCTCTAGGGTATATGATTTTATGAATATATATGTACATACATATGTATGTGTGTACACATGGATATGTATATGCATCTATAGGACTCCATCTATATGTTTCTGGCCCTTAATACTCAAAGGATCAAATGTCGCATTGTGTACTTTTCTGGTCAAGTTATCGGTTAACAAGTAGAACAAAGTGACTGAGTATGGCATACAAAAGACCTACAATGTATGACACACAAACACACACACAAACCCATTGAACAAAAATTAAAGAGAAGAAGCATAACACGAGTAGGGTTTACAAATAATACAAAATGAATTACGCAAAGAATTACAATAGGGCTCAATGTTTTCGCATACAAGTTCCAAGAAAAATTAGAAAACACAATGCAGTACGGGCTTAACTGTGAGAGTGGCGTAGTAGTTCATTTTGGCATTCACTGTAGTAATAAGAGTAAATTAAATCCTTTTTATTCAAATACTCTTAGTACTGATAGTAGAGTAGATACTGACTAATAGCTCAGTTGGCGTTGCATGAGAATGAGCTTTGCGTGTAAGCGGTTACCCAACGCACAGCATTACAAATGTAGCAGTCTGTTGGGTTTTGATTTCAACGTAAAAATGGCATAGCAGTGCAAAGTATGCATAACTGAGTTATAACGCTTCATAGTGTATGTAATGTAAGTTTGAATACAGAAGTGGGCAAGGAAAATTTGAATAGAATACGGAATATACCCAGCTAATGAAGAGACATCCAGAAATAGCAGATATATACGAGTGTTCAACTTAGCAAGTCCTACGTTAACATTGCTAACGAGCACAAAAATCTACGCAAAATGATTATGCTTTAATATTTTGAAGAAAAACCCATGCTACTTATAGACGAAGAGGTCCAATCTCATAACTAACAAAGTACGCCTAAATTAAGGGCGTAAATAGAGAAAGGTGTGACACCAAGAAATTATTTGATCACAAAGTTTAAAAAGAGTACCAGACTATTAAGGCCATGTCACACCTTCGGTACATTTTTACATACAGAAATGTAATTTTTTATACATTTCATGACCATGATTTTGTTTATAAATTTGGTCCGATGTTTGTAAGTACCCGCATAAGAAGCGATAGACCCATGCAAAATGTACTCAACAAAGTGTGATTGAATTTGACATTGATCTCAGAAGAACCAGCCTATAAACTCAAATTAAAAATATTTTTATGAATTTTGAATTGCTTGTTTATAGTTTTTGGCATAATAACTTACCTTAAAAGAGAGCCTACCTGAGTTGTCAATCATACATTGTTTAATACACCTTGGATCCATGGTGAAATTATAAACAGGTGAAGTAATAAAGCAGCTTTCTCGCTCGAAATTCTCTAAGGCATATTTTCAAATAAGATAGTGCCAAGTCTTTCTTCTTTTATTACTTCGCCTGGTATAATTGCACCATGAGATATACCCATGAAAAAGTAAGTATGTCAAAATGATCAGAACGTCGAGCTGAGTCGATTTGCATTTGCTAAGCGTACGGACGGCCTTCCAATGTTTGTCACTCAAAAGCGAGGCGCCCATGAACGAACGAATAAAGATCCACCCAAGTCGGCGTGCGGTGCAGTGACTTCATTTTTTCGCCGCCATGTGAATGAAACGGAATGCATTTATTTCTGAGCAAAGGAATTTGGGGCAAAAAGGGGCTATATCTAAAGTTTGAAAGTTTTTTAAGATACTTAACTCTACATTCATGTAATTGACATTGCAAAAGGATATGGTTTCCGTGACCGCATAGTGTTCATAGTTTTGGTACAACAAAGAACGTCGAAAAGTTAATCAAGTCAAGGCATTAACTCAAAATTGGTAAACTTGCACATTCATGCTTTTAGCATAAAGGCGACGTTGTAGTAAATATTACACATAAATACATAAGTGAGAGAAAAATGGAGCGACTGCTGGCGATGGCAGTAAAAAGCACATATCGCACACCGTCTTCAAAAGAGTCACAACTCAAAATAATACGTTTGTCAGAAAATGCGGAAAGCTATTTCTTAGCACATGATAATCATATGGACAAGGGCGACCTTACCATAGGTTTTTCTTTTTAACAAATTATAACAAAAATTTGCTCCAGCTTCTGCTGAAAGGTAAATAAAAGCTCTGCGCACATTTTTAGCGCATAATCTCAAAAATGCCAGATTTTGAGTTGTGACTCTTTTGAAAACGGTGTGCGATATTTTTGGAACATCGTAAAAATTATACAGAATTTAATAGCCTCTTATAAAAAAAATCATTAATTAAAAGGTTACATTCACCACTTTAGTGGAATGTTCTCCAAAGGATACTGAAGCCCAAGTGGTGGCGAAAAAACGTATACTTATACGCGCAAAATATGGTAATGATTACATAGTAAGGCCGAGTT